AAWTKRAAWWAMYTTYYTTTTTTTTTAAGAAAGAAAAAGAGAAAAAAAAAAGAAAATTAAGTTAAGTTATGATTCTAGTCTTTATAATTTTTAAAGTTGATTATAGTCCTTGTGATGTTGGTTAAATTTCTTGACCATCCTCGCTTATTTCTCAAAACTTAATATAATCATCTCAGAGTCGTTACTTCTTTATAATTATCTATATCTAACAGAAAATGTGACATCTATAATGTTATACTGAACTCAAATCTTATAAAGTAAAATGGTAATTAATTAATTAAGAGTGCGAACTTTTTTTGAGGGAAGATGTGAGGAGTGTGATCCAAGTAGAACTTGACGATATCTTTGGCTGCATACAAAGGCCTATTGTCTTTATTCGGAGCCGTGATCATGGTGGTGACCAAACCGCCGGTGCTCGTTCCGGCCATCACATCAAAATAATCCGCCACTCTAGCATCTGGACCGTCCAATTCCTGATTAAGACACAAGAAAATTACTTGAGAACTAAAAAAAGTTAAAAAATTAAATTCCCGAAATACCCCCGCCGGCTGGGTTCTCTAATTTACCTGAAGCTTGGCCTCTAAAAAGGTGAGCATGGTGGCCGGAATAATCCCTCTGATTCCGCCGCCGTCGATGCTCAGCACCGTTATCATCTTCCCCTTCGCAAAGTTTGCTTCCATCGTCGTTTCTCTTATTCCGATGCTCTCCCTCTCCCGATCTCGATATGTCGTTTTGGTGTAATAATTGGGTCCTAAAACTGATATATATATATATATTATATTAATAATTTATTGCATCATATCCTAAACAAGCAGGATATTAGGATATTGAGAGAGAATAATAAGAAAACCAGTATGCTTTGGAATAGGTCAGGATATTGAGTTAAATAATTTGGTTGGAATGTTACTTTCTTCTCTAAATTTTATTTTTTGTGTTTATTTTCTTGGGGTTGTTAACAGGGTGAAATGTACTTGTTAAGTTCATCTAAAGTGAGGCTAAATAAGTAGGGTGAAATTTTATTTTTTGTTAGATTGACGAGCCGATTTGTAAAAAAGAATGATTTTCTTTCTGTTATAGTAATATATATATAGAATTAATCTTACATAGATATTATGGATTAGAATGATATAATTTGTCTGATAACGAAAATGATCAAGCTTGGTTGTGAAGCTCGGACTTCAGATACCGACGTACGAAGGACCTACAAAACAGAGTTAGCACTCCCGTGCTCAAGTTAGTACATAATCCGATCTATACTCGAGAGAGAATATAGTTTCATGTACCTTGTGTGAGAGACGGAGATCTCTATTTATAGAGGTGGGCTCCCGACGAGGCTTCCAACAATGTTCTAACGGCTCTTCGATCACCTGAGAATCACAACGTCTTCTTGGAGAATATGTCTGTTGTCTTTGTGCCGGCACGTGCTCGACTCATCCTTGATGAAGGTTGATCGGAATGTGAAACATAGCTTGGCTTTGCTTGTACTGTCGAGCTACTTAAAGTTGTCCAAATGAAAAGATTCATTTAATTCTAATGATCATCATGGTGATTGATGATTATCTCTGATGTCGACACGTGGCAAGTGATAATTTGTCTCCAACATAATTTAAGCAAGTAGTCCTTTCTGCAACTTAAAATGTCGGTACGCTTTTCACCTCATAATTGTTAAGAAACATAACAAAGATTTATAATAATAGGTGGGTGCTACTCCTCTCATCTCATTGTAAATTAATTTTGAGATGGAACTCCGTGAATATTGATATGGTATCAAAGTCTAAAAGCTTAAACTAGTATCCGATCGAAAAATGGGATTCGGCCAGGATTTGTAAACTCAAAGGAGGCAACATCTTGAGAGAGCATGTTAAAGATCTCACATTGAAAAAATATAGGAAATTTGGCAAGATTTTATAATCTATGTGAGTTACTTCTCTCGTTATCAATTATATTGATAGGAACGACCAAATCAAATAGGTAGAGACTCTCTATTTACTTGTAAAGTTGGTTGTTTGCCTTTCCTTAAAAATATAGAAGTAAGTGCACCATTTCTCCACACTAAAGAGATCTATTATATACCACCATACTTTTTGGTACTAACCATTTATTTGACCTAGGTATCCGAGCGTAGTTGGAGTTTAACACCACATTAGTGTGCAGATGTTCATCGAAACTTCTTAGTATTCTATTTCTAATCCAAATCTTGCATCAACAAAGGTGAGTGCAAATTTAACATAGTTAAAGAAATAATGGTAAATATAACAAAATTAATTAGAATAACACACTTAGATTATGATTAGATTAATCAAATATGTAGATTGATTAATCACTATTAAAAGTACAAATATAGTCTCAAATTCCTAGTATATAAATAAGAATAATATTCTCAACATCAGCATAGAAAGAATACTTTTGAAATTATTTGTAAAACTAAGGTAGTTTTTGTCCATACATGAAATCAATCTTTTAAATACAATTTGAAACTTATTTTTACGACATAGACACTTTCGAGTGAAAAATTAACAAAAGAAAAAAAAAAAACTATCATTTTCTACTAAGTACTTAAAAAATATACTTTCTCTTTTTGGAATTATTTTAAAAAATAAAAAATATTTTTTTAATAAAATACTATTTTTTGCTCTCTATACTTTCACCTTTTGTTCATTTTAATTCGATTACTTTCGAAACGTCTATTTTAGTTGTTGTACTTTTAAAAGTGACAATTTTAGTTCATTCATTTTAATTTTCATCTCATTTTGACACAAAATAATTTTAGTATGACATTTCACCCACCTAATATATCATATACTAATTTCGAGACAGTTTAATTAAAAARAAAGTGTAATAAAACCCAAAAAGAAACTATATGATAATATTAAATATGACAATTTGCAATTGCAAGAACATAGGAAATGTACTTTACAATCTTGTCTTATTTGAACAATTTTTTTTTTCTTTTTAAATTGGCTTGGCGTATAGTGATGGTGAGTTGACTTGAGCCAACAGCTTAAGTTGCTTAATTAAATTAATTAGATGGCAGCTAATTTGTTGAAATGTTCTTATTATCTTTCATTAATCATATTAATTAGGTGAAGCATAAGCTTCTCTTCTGTAATTATAGGGATGCACGATAGATTAGATTATGAAGTCAAACCAAATCTGCCAACCAAAATCCAACAAATTAATTAATGATGCAATCCATATACTTTATTAATGATATAATAAGAAATTATAGCAAATACTAAAATTTGGTGTTATCGCACCTCAAGATATTTTATTTTTATTTTTTTCATTAAATAAATTATAAATTTAGTTCTCAAGATAGATGACTTTGATATCTCATCTCTACCATTGTTGAGATAAAAAAAACAATTATAAATTTAGTCCGAAAATTTAGTCCATTTTTTTCTCATCGGAGTTATTTCACAGAAAACTTACTATGGTAAGGAACAAGAACACTCGAATAGATGTCGGTCACTTGACCGTCATTGTTTCCTTTTAATGACGGGCATTGCCTATCATGAAAAATCAAATTTGTTGTAGTATTTGAACAGCGTAGTACAACAGAGAGCTATATGCTGTGTTCAGGAATGATGAATCGCTCCTGAACAGGAATCTATTGATTCCCTCCCAATTGATACGGGATTGACCTCTACTATCGCACGAGGAAAAAGACCCCATTTTCCCTTCCCTCAATATATATGGCACGCTTGACTAATAATTTCAAAAGTTGACGACTTCTACTCGTTGTCTAGAGCTGTCGACTTGAGCACAAACTTGTGTTTATTTTTTGTTTTTTGCTTTTTAAAAATTAAATTACAGAATATTACTTCCACCTATCCATTTCTTTCTTTGTTTTGTTATCTAGTTTTTTAAAACGTTTTCAAAATCTAACTCAAAATTTGGAAACTAAAATGAATATTTTAGCTATGTCGTGTCATTGATTAAAAAATAGAAAATAAAATGATTATCAAATGAATTTTTATTATTTTAATTTTAATAATATAGAAAAATCRAGCAATATCTAAATATTTTGATTGGTCAATGGGTATGGAAAGTGAGGGTTAAGTAACATATCAAGTTGAATTTCTCAAAATTGCAACAAATTGGATTCAGAAATAATTTTTTGACATTGAAAAAGATAAATATTATCCCTTAATCTTGAATGACAAGTCAAGCAAGCATTAAAAAAAAAATAGAACACAAATTTCATTTTTTTTTCTTATTTTTTCACATTAAAGACAACTCATAATTAGATAGTATGTTACGGCTAAATCTATGTTCTTTTTAAGAATAAAAGAGAGATTTTATTGAGAATAAATCACCACATGGATTATATATGATGGCTGAAACTTTAAGAACCTAATTGTCAATAGCTTTGCATGCAGAGAGATATAGCCAACATCATAAAAAATAGCCATAGCATAAGGAATGGATTGTTTATCCTTGAGAATTATGATTCCAATTCTAGCATGATACGAGGAGAAGAAAAATGTTAGGGTGAATCACAATTGAGAGTTACCCACTTAAGATGCTTCCCCTAATCTCTGGTTTAGAAATCCCCCATTGACGTTTCTTTCGATCGAAGTTCACCCTGCATTTGCTCGTTTATAGTGTTGAGTTTTGGCAAAATATATTAGAAGTGCAAATTGTCGCACATTGGAAAAGTATAAGGAGGGAATGGGYCCCAAGTGTTATAAAAGAAGCCCATGACTTTTTGGTTTTATTCATTCTAGTTAGCTGAGTGGTATTTGCTTTGACAGAATGTTTTAGAGATAATATCTTCGGAGGGCTGTATTAGAAACTTATTTACATAAATGTCTAAATTTTTAAAAATTTACACTTTTAGATTTATGCAGTTAGGATTTTAATTTAATTCCATATTTACCCCTATTGATTGCATTTTCATTTATTAATGAATTTGGATTTTTTGAAATATAAAATTGTTATTTCCATAAATTAATATCACAATCATTTAATAAATGTGGGCCCCATAGATATTATCTCAATTCAAATTCCTTAATTCTCTCCGAATCCCTCAAAAAGATTTATTTCATCTTTCCTCAATTGTTTCCGATTTTCTTCTTCGTTCACTTCAAAGTTTTCTCGTTTTTTCTTCCGTTTTTTCTTCTTCGTTCACTGCCCAGCACGTCCTTGTATAAAGTATAACATTTTGAATATATAATATACCCGATATAAYATAGACTAAACCTTATGAGATATAAAATTTATCTGATGTAAATCCTTAACGGTATATATCCAATAGATTTTTAATTTTGAATCACCATCAGTATATATCGACATACATAAATCTTGAGATATAATATATATCCTTATCTAAACACTATATATGACCACACATACGTTACTCATAACAAACGAATAAAGAAAAATATACTCGTATATACCAATGTAATACCAAAAGTCCTATGTAAACTTGAGATATATTATATATCCAAATACATTTTCCATGGAAATTGTTTCACCGTTATATATGGAAATATTTTAATCTAGATATATATTATATATCCTAATCAGTATGACTATATTATATATATTGAAATATACACTGTTATAAAGGATAATAGCAGATAGAAAGAGATAATGGGAACCAAAGAGTAGTAGATTCTGTCAAAAAAAGAAACCTAAATTGAGCATATACAATAAGAAATATATACCTCGATTCTGTACAAAATTGAAACGATGTTGCCCTATAAATGCGAC